CCCCTGTGGGAATTTTCGGCACACATTTTTTTGTTTGTATTGACATGTGCTGTATAAGGTTTTAGGTGTTTGCCACATGCGAATTACAGCATATCCCGGAAAAACATGAAAAAATCATGAAAACTACCAAATATTAAATACCTATAGGATCGGGATCTCAAATCTCCGTCAAACTTTCGCACTACTTAATCTCGTAGTTAAACGTCGTTTTTAACGGAAAACAGAAATAATACATTTTTGATTAAAATTTCTTCGAAATTTAGCTTTTTCCTATCGATTTTGATTTAACACACTTACGACAGTACCGTGAGGATGGTAAGCATATAGATCGGACCCCTTCTCTAAAGTAATTGTTTAGTAACAAAAAGTACCAAGAATTTCACCGGCAAGTGCCCATTTTGCGCCCATTTCTACTAGCACTTTAATTTTCCCTTTGGCGTCCTCTCTCGTAGACCCTTTTGAATTTTTGCGGGCGGTGAAAGTGTCGTACGATAGTTCTGTCCTTTCTCTTTCGATCGCCGTATCAACCGTTTGAATACCTCGAATATTGGCGAAATTATTAATTTGTAAAAGTAACTAAAATTAGAAAAACGAAACGCGCCCCTACCGCCGGAACCGTACTGTTTTATGAGATTTTGTTTCCATTTTTGCAATCCCGGTGCCCAAATGTATAAGATGACATCGAAAAAGCGACGATTTTTGACATTTCTTTTTCGGTTTTTTCGAAGGAAGGGTATGGAAGTTTTCTCGTTTCGAAATTTTTCGTATAACTTTTGAAGTAGTCTTCGTATTTCGATGAAACCTTCAGTAAAATGTTCTTTGCGATAAAGTGCAACGCCTGACATGTCGGTAGATCGAATCGGCAACGTTTTAGAATTTTTGAGGAGTGCATTCTTACTTCTTGGGAATGTCACATATATAGTTACTTTTTTGAAAATTTCGAATGTATAGAACCGTGACACATTGCTCGGCTTCGCCTCGCACATCGAAACACCTATCCTTACATCATTAGGAGCATCACCGACAATTACAGACACGTTACTGACCAGCCTGGAGGAATTCGTCTGTTGCTTGTACAGTAATAAGGAATACACAGATATAAACAAACTACGGTTTGATTTGTTTTCACAAAAGTATTCTCCCACAACTCCATTTTCTCTGCCCAACAATAAAGGTGTGGATTTAAGTCTACTTCCCCCATTCAAAACGTCAAACTACCGATGTTACATGTAGCTGAACCCTCCACACCAACTCCAGTAGGACATGGGTGGAAGTTGGAGAATGATGAGCTTAAGTTTAATTGGATTAAAGGAGATCCGTTGCCTCCCGAACTGCTTGACGTTCCAGAAAGCTTTGAACTGGATGAATTTGAAGATGAAGATGAAGCAGAAGACGACTTAATACACGGGGATGAAGAAAATGACAGTTGATTACAAATGAAACTATAAAATCATATGGTGTTAGTTGAGACTTTTTATAAAAACAATTTCATTTTCATGGTACTGAAATATGTTCATAAAGTAATATGGTAATTAAATGTGCCCTTTTGTGGTTTAAAATTAAACAAAATAAAAAATTCACTTTTTGTTACATTTTTCAGTATTTCTTAATTTCCCCGAATATGCTGTACCTAATTTAAAAAGGACACACAATTGAATTCTTAATCTGGTAGGTAACACCAACAAAAAAGTATAAGCCATAAATTCCCACAGAGGGGGGGGGGGGGGGGGAGGTTTCATATTAGTGGCTCGTGGTCTAATAACCCGATGTTTATTTTCGTTCTGTTCCGAATACTATTGCTATACTCGGACAAAAACAATGTTTATCCTCTATTAAATTAATAATTCTAATTAGTTCGCGATAGTCGCAAGGATACGTTCTTTCGTAAATTCCGCGGGCCCCATGTTGTTCTGTTGCGACTTCACCCGCTATTTTGTACTTTTGTTTGTGTTTATTACTATAATAGTTCATTTATTGTGTACGCTGTACAGGCAAGCTATACGTTGCTCTCGGTAGTAGGTACTCATAATGTGGGTTATTATTTTTAAAAAATCCAGTTGTATGACACCAGGGCGCTAAATTCATGTATTCACAAAATGTTTTTGACAGTTTTACATCCCCTATGCAAAATTTTAACAGAATCAAAGTAACTGTTTTTTTCAGTTTTTTTGTAATAAAATCTGACATACATACATACAAACATAGACGGAAAAAAAATTTCTTTTTAAAAGTTACTTAAAATGATCTAAAACGTCGACATTTAATAAAATTTTAACATTTTAAAAAAAGCTTTGATGGCATTAGCCTCTGAAACTAATCTAATTGTGACCCCCCCTCCCCCCCTAAATAATGTACAAGTAATTACGTCAATGCTATGAATTGTTCTACCTAAGATCGCTGGCTATAGAGGTACAACTGAATGGGACATCATTTGAAATTAGAAATTCTGGAGCTCACCTGGGAATATTAGTCCAACTATTATAGGTATACAATATTAAAAAAAAAAATTAGTTCCCTATCCAAAACGTTTTTTTATGTAGATAAAGTGATTCGAAATTGGAAAAAAATAGTTAAAACAGCTGAATTTTTCCGCGTGCGAAATCCCGGTAGTTAAAACGGGCAAAAGTGGTATTCTGCAATTCCTGGTAGGTAAAACTATTAATTTTAGGCGAAAATGCTCGAAGTAAAAGCTGTAGGGAATAAAAAATGAACAACTTATGTATCTAGTACCTATATCTACACTTTTTTCATTAGCTATAATCTCAATAATGTTCCGAGAAAAACAGAATAGGTAAACTGTCTTTTTTAGTTTTCTATTTTTATTTTTGCAAACAAAAGTCATACAGGTCTGAGAAGAGCCCGTAAATTGAGCCGTTTCCGAGGGATAAAAAATCTATTTTGGTTCATCGTACATAGTTGAGTGAGGTATTAGCAACATTTTTGTAAAGAAAAATTGCACTAATCAAAAATAAAATAATTCATTTCCATAAAACAATTTCGAGTAAATAGCTAAAAAGTTAAAAAAAACAGTTTTTCGATGTAGGTATGTACAAGTTTTTTGATGTAATAAATTTTTACAACTAAATAAATCAACATGGATCCGCGCTAATTAAGGGTTTTCGAATCTCTCTTCTCTATAATGTCCAATTAAAACTACTTTATTGTTTCTTTTCTTTGCATTTTTACCCCAATTAAAGTAGTTAGAAGTAAAAATCGAATTCTTTTGCTTCCCCAAAAATTTCTTTTCCATCACTGACTCTTCCTGTATGTGACGCGATTGCCTGTTAAACGTTGATTTGCAGACAAATTTGAGGTTATGTGCGTGCAAAAGTGTACCTACTTATACAAAAAAGTTACTCATTTTTTTTATTCCCGACAACTTTTACTTCGACTATTTTCTCCTTAAATTAATAGTTTTTTTGCCACAATTTGCAAAATAGCTCTTATCACCCCCAGGAGCTAGCCTGCTGAAAAATAATTTTTTGCCCAATTTGTAATCAATTAACATTGATAAATTTAAAAATGAATAAAAATTTTTGAGCTCTTTAACCTCGACTATAGGTAGGTACCTATGTTTTATGGAGGAGTCCATTTAATGATGCTACCTCTTACTTTTTAATCAATATTCTTCATCGGAAAATAATAAACTTTCTTGGGCAACGTTTTTTCGCCACGCTTACCATTTTTTGAAGACATTCTTCCAAAAGCTCGTTGTTTAAGCTAGGAAACTGTGCTGTCTAAAATTTGGCACATTTTTTTGTA